ACTTACTAGGTTTTCTCTGCCCGTCTTTTACATAGTTCATTGTAAGAAAATTTAGTATAAAAGATAAGGACTTGACTTAAAATGCTAGCCTGTTGCTGACCGGTTGACGTTTATCACGGTTTTACTAATTAGCTTGCTGCCACTGGTTATATTTGTAATACCACAAAAAAAATATATGTATATATACCAAAGCGAATACAAAACAAAACTTGTTTGGATATTAGTAAGTTAAATATATTTTGATCTGCCACTTTTAGGAATTCAGTGAAACTTTTGAAAAAAGTAAAACTAACACGCGCGGTAAAGTTTTTTTTTTTGGGGGGGGGGGGAGCGGTCCTTCAGATGAGTTTATTCACTGAAGCAAAGTGGTTCATTTCCTGTATCTCGGTGAAATACTGAATTTGCCCTTGATCCAGCTGGCTAATAAACCACAGTGGTCGAATTTGAAGTACTTTATAACTCAAAACTTTTTTATATATTATTACTACTACGTATGAGAATAAATCCAGATGCGTAAATTTGCCGATCAATGTATGAGAGTTGGTTGCTCTGTACTTGGAACAATTAAAAACTAATAACTCATCATATGTTGAATGGTTTTCTGTAGATTTTGTATGTATAGGGATATATCTGGGATATGAAATTATGTATATTTATAGCGAGACTTAGTGTAACTTTAATATAGTAATCAAAGTTTAGGTTTGTACTTGTGTTCAAGCAGGCCACATACTTCTGGCTGTCTTGGTGTCACTAGATATGTGTGTATAAAATATAGTGATACACGTTTTTGTTTATACAAAGCAATGAACGCGAAAGCGGCGTTTCTTCTGAAAGTTCAGCAAAGTGACTGTTATCTAGTTTGGTTCTTTCATACTCATTTTGTTTTAGAACGCTGGGCTATAAGTTTACACATTAAATCACGCCACATTTGTCGTTTCTCTTCATGAATTATGTGAAGGACAGCTAGCACGAGTATTTGAACACCTAAGTTTTTGTTAGAAATCTGTAAACTGAGGTTATTCAATTAAAAGATTTAGTGAGGTGGGAATTTAAATACTAACAAATATACTTTCTTGAAGTCATAGTAGGTTAAAATGATTGTATTCCAACCTTAATACCATACAGATATCAGTAAGACACAATCAGTTAAGATTTCATAAACTACAATTTCATGCTGTATATTAAATAGTGACGAGGTTGTATTACGTTAAGTATATCCAAATTATAATATAACGTGATTTTCTTGAAGTCGCATTTAGAATTTTTTTCCCTTCTCATTGCATATCATGAAAGGTAGGTTCCAGAACACTTTTCGTGATCACTTTTATGAAAAAAATTAATATTAAAAAGAACTATGTTTTTAAAATTCACAAGTTTTCATCGTTTCTACATAGTAAACTTTTCTTCACAACGTTTCACCTGGTAAATAAAATAATTTTACCATGTACAATCGATAAAAACTTGTGTGACTTTTATGAATAGTATGAACATACAACCCTTCTTGATAACTTTTGCGAATAATTGTCAGAACACTGGTGTTAATAAGTATTTATTTCTCATTGTTCAAGGCTGTGAACTGATTTTCGTTCGTATTAAGCAGCAGATAAAAGGTTTGTACTAAACGTGAAGGAAATAATCTTAATTCGCACACAAAAGTCGGAAATCTCGAGGACTGTGTGTTTATTGACGTCTCCATTAATGTCAAATGTGATTAGTTTGTGATGCAAAAAGTTGCCTAGTTCTCACGTAACTTTACACACTTTTTAGTAAGAAATTATCTTCATGTAAGTTTGTATTAAGTTTCAAGACTATTCGAAACTAACCACTTTATCGTTTCAATATGCATATGAGGCCTAGTGGTTAGGGCGCTTGGTTCACAATTTGAGGGTCGTGGGTTCGAATCTCTGTCACCAAACATGCTAACCCATTCAGTCGTGGTGGTGTTATAATG